GAGACAGGGCTTCTCTGTGGCTTTGGAGGCTGTCCTGGAACTAACTCTTGTAGATCAGGCTGGTCTTGAACTCACGGAGATCCGCCTGCTGGTGCTGGTGCTGGTACTAAAGGCGTGCGCCACCAACGCACCTTGAACTTCTGATTCTCCTGGCTCTACCTCCCCAGTGGTGGGATTACACCCATGCCGCCCTGTGCTGGGCTTTGCAGTGTTGAAGGTAGAACTCGGGGCTTTGTGTGTGCTAATTAGACCTAAACATTATGAATTAATGCTTCTCAATATGATGAATTAATGAATTAAAAGAATGCATGCACATAGTTAAAGAGTTAAAAATCACAGGCCCCATTATAAACCGCCATTTCCGTTCAAACCTTTCCCACCCCGTAGCTCTGCCCCTAAGGCGGCCACTTTTAACTGTTTTTGTTGTCTTCAAGGATTTATTTCGGATATTTTAAAACAACCACCAAACATATTGTTCACTTTTCTATTTTACAGTTTTGAAGTCTTGACTCTTGGTCTTGTACTATGGAAGATAGAATGTGACATCCATTAGCCTACCCTCTGCTTGTTCTTCAACTGTATTTTCATCAGTTTAAAAATTACATTACTTACTTTGTGTGTGTGTGTGTGTGTGTGTGTGTGTGTGTGTGAGAGAGAGAGAGAGAGAGAGAGAGAGAGAGAGAGAGAGAGAGAGAGAAAATCTTTGTGAGGCGGTTGACACATTTTGCCGTGTGAGTCCTAAGCATAGAATTCAGGTCATTGAGCCAGATGGCAAGTCTCTTTACCTGGTGAGCCATCTCACCAGCCTAATTTTAACACTTTTAAATCAATTTTTGATGTTTATTACAGCTTCATACATATTTAAGGCTGAACAAAATAATGGGTCCTGGTTGTGTTTTCAACTGTCTTACTTCTCTCATTGAGTTAATTATTATTTCTATTTTAAAAACCAATCTAATTCATTTTCTTACTATTTATCAGGAATTCAATTTAAACCAAAAAAAGATGTGTGCGGGTTTTTTGCTTGCTTGTAGGTGTGTGCCTTCAGAGGGCATGGGACCCCATGGAACCAGAAGTACAGATGGTTGTGAGCCATCATATGTGTGCTGGGGATGGGACTCTGCAGCCAGTGCTCTTAACTACTGAGCCATCTCTCCAGCCCCTCAACCCAAATTTTTGATCTCTGAAGGCACCAGGAAATCTTGCCATTTGTGTTTCCTCAGTGATGTCCGATTGGCTGTGAGGTGGGGGGCTAGCTATGCTGTCGAGGCTGCCCTAAGACTCCTCAACTCAGATGGCCCTCCCACTTACTTCAGCCTCCCAGGGATTTCGGAGTATCCGTTATGCCAGGTTACTTGGCTTTTGGGGTGATATCTTTCCTGAATGCTTCCGTCCTCTTGCATTTGGGGCAGATCTTCTCCAGGACTGCTGTCCAGCCCCATCCTGAAACTTCATCTGACAAATGCCTCCATGTTTCTTCCCTGGAATCCTTCTCTTTTTTTTTTTTTTTTTTTGACGGTCTTAAATTGTTTATTGGGTATGAATTTTTGCAAACATCACCGGTATTAGCGGTAACGGTGGAGCTGCAGAGTATTGTGCCTTCTCCAGGCTGCACGGCGAGAGCCACCAATAGTGTGGTGGAACTTGTGGCCCTTTCCAAGGCCGCTGCTCTTATGGCCAGCAGATGTCAGCCCACGCATCTCTCTGTGCTTGTGGACTGGTTTGGTGATCCACTGTGTGTCAGGGTTCCTTCTGATAGCTTTATGGAATGGATCAATGAGGATAACCTCAAAAAACTTGTATGTGGAATCTTCACCAACCCAGTAAGAATTCAGGACTCTCAAAGCCCAATGCCATCCACCTCTCTCCTCAGCAACAGACTGAAGGCTTCTGGCAAACTTTAGCTGGTTAACACCATGATGGACAGGCTTGCCGTAAGCTGCACCCTTAGGAACTGGGCGTTTTCGGCCACCACGGCGGACACGAATCCTGTATATGACATAACCTTGCTTGGCCTTGTATCCCAGCCTTCGCGCTTTATCAGACCGGGTGGGGCGTGGAGCCCTGTGCAGCGCAGAAAGCTGGCGGTATTGCCAGCAACGGACCCTCAGCAAAAAGCGCATCACGTCGGACTGCTTCTTCCTCCATAGCTCCTGGATGTA